CAGGGCACTGTGCTGTGGCTGCCTCTCTGCCCATGGGGGAGATCTGCCTGACTCCCTCGTCCTCCCCCTTGCCTGGTTGTATTTGCAGCCTGCGATGCTGGGTACAGAGCAGCTGGCACAGTCACAGGGCATCAATCTGGAAGGGCCAATGCTGGCTCATCCTGCTGCTGGCACCAACAGACAAAACAGCCACCAGACACCTTCCTGGGCACGGAAGGACAGTCACCTGTAGTGGTGTGCTGCCAGCAGTCCCTGGGGCTCTGGCCCAGCCTGCCTGCACATTGCCATGCATCTGGGGAGTCGACTTCAAGGATGGAGCATTTCCAAAAGCCCTTTGCATGTGGCCACTGGGACTTGGAAACTGGCAGGGTGTAACAGGATGGACACAAGTGCTTCCATGCCCAAGAACAGGGATCTTTTCATTGCTAGAGAGATGTAACCAACCATCTTGTGTCAGACTTTGACCAGAGCCAAACACTGAGCAGAGAAGATGACCTTTATTTCTAGCTCATCTGCCTCTCTCATAGAGCTGGTGTTTGCCTGATGCAGCAGTGCCAGGACTGAGGGCCTTTCTTGTGTGCTTCTCCGCAACTAGGGGAGAACATCTGATAATCCATTTTACATCCATTTCATACCCAAATACCCAGTTACACTGCACACCAGGATTCGTCCCAGTTACTCAGAGCCAAGGACACAGATGCTCTAGTCCCTACCATAAGTAAATATCTGGGTTTCCATTCCCCCTGGAGGGACTGATAACACCCCTGACCTTTGGGCAAGGCTTGTATTTGGGGTCCTGTCACCTAGGACTTCATGGACAAGTTTTCTGCACTTTTCTCTTTTCAGAAGTCCTACGAAACCGAGCTGAAGATCAACATTCGTGGGAACAGCCAGCTCCTCGTGCTGCACATCTCAGGACAGGGTCTGGAGCCACAGCTGGAGTTCAACCCCACAGAGATCAAGTTGGGAGCGGTGCTGCCATGCAGCCCTGAGCTGGAGACGACAGTGGTGGTGAAGAACCCCTGCGAGTTCCCCATTGAATTTTACTCCCTGGAGTTTGACGAGGAGTACCGTGAGGAGGAGAAGGTGAGAGGGAAGGTCTGGTCCCCATGTGTGTGCTCCCCAAGCTGTGCAGCACTCCAGCCTTCCCAGGCTTGTGCCAGGGAGATGGAGGCAATCCCCAGGGCAAAGCCTGGTGGCACTTTGAGGAGAGCCATCCCTGCTGGCAGTCTGTGGAGGGGCTTGGATAGCCTGTGTTGTTGGGAGGAAGGAAGGAGGGAGAAGATGGGCTGAGTCTGTTGGTATGATGGAGGTTGATAAAGGAATCTTGTGGATGGTTTCTCTTCCCCACGCACACAGATCCTGCGGAC